CTGGGCAGCGTTCGGTAAACTATGACACATCTTCTCGTCAGGCATACCTCAAAACCTGAAAACGAGATTGTACAACCAGTGCGTGTTGCCAGTGACGACTTATGCAACTGATACGTGGTCCTTCACTGCTGGCCGAATGAAATAGCTCAAGATCGCTTAGCGAGCTATGGAGAGGACTATGCTCGGGGTTTCTCTGCGTGATAAACTTAGAAATGAGGATATTGGCAGTAGAACCAGAGTAACCGACATAGCCCAACGGATTAGTAAGCTGATGTGGCAGTGGGCCGGCCATATAGCTCGAAGAACCGACAACCGATGGGGAAGAAAGTTTTTCGAGTGGCAGCCTCGTACCGGTAGGCGAAGTGTAGAGCGACCCCCCACTAGATGGAGTGATGACCTGGTAAGAAATGCAGGAGGTCGATGGATGCAGGTGGCTCACGGCCGTGCTGTGTGGCATTGGAGGAGGCCTATGTTCATCAGTGGACTTATGAAGGGCTGTAATGATGATGATGATGATGAACTACAGAGGGGTATCGATATTCTTCTTTCTTATCTGGTGAAAATCTTCAGAGCAAGTTTTGCATAGCTGTGTTTCGCCAGCAACGCAAAGTCAGGAATTTGCATTTAGAAAAACCCAAAATTAGGGGCTTTTTAGATGTCAACTTTAAAAATTAAACGACTTGTTAAATTTGCGTTCCCAGCAAAACGTATCGCTAGCAACGCAGTGACGATAAATATTAATAGCAAGGAATTATGGGTTAATTAGGTTCTGCAAGTACAGGCAATAACAAGGCGCCCTTAATTCATTGCTATTAATATTTAAGGTTATACTGATGACCTTGCGAGGGGTTTTCGCCAAAGTAGATTATCATTAATCATTCAAAGAACCATAAACACCATAAATAACTGGTGTAGGTAGGTATAACAGTTTTTCAATTAATGCTGATACAACTGTTATAATACCCTTTACCAAAAAGAGACGGTCGGACAAATTAGTCACACCAAAACTTAATAGGAAAGAAGTACCACTCTCCACTAAAGTTAAGTACTTGGGCGTACCAACCGACCAAAAACTAACGTGGAACTCTCACCTTAGCAACGTATGTTATAAGACTAAAATTGCTTTAGATACGTGCAGTCGTGGTTGGGAACAACTGGCGCTTATGTTCCTATTGTTATACAGCAGCGCAGGGAGGCCGATTCATACCTGCGCCTCCACTGTCTGGTGTAATAAGGCCAACCAAAAGATGTCTGCGGACAGATTAAATAGTCTACAAAAGACTGCCTGCTTAATGGCAACTGGAGCGATGCGATCATCGCCTGGAGCGGCTCTTAATGCACTTCTATGTCTAACACCTCTTGATATTTATTTAGACAAGGAGGCGAGGGCTAGTTTGTATAGGATTAATGCCCAGGGCGGTCTGAGCTTGCTTTCCTATAGATTGAGATCCATGCTCAACTCAGTTAAGGAAACACCGGTCTTATGCATGATCTCGGATATCATGCGTCCACTAATCCACTTTTAATAAAAAGTATATAGTGGAACTACCCCCCAGAGAAGATTGGCTGAACGGAGAGTTTATCTGTGAGGTCGGTAGCCGTATATGGTATACCGATGGGTCAAAAATGGGCCTCGACGTAGGCTCTGGAATTTATGCGAAACGCCCCAAATTCAAATTTAGTATGAATTTGGGTAGATTCACCTGTATCTTCCAAGCAGAAATTTTCGCCATACTTCAGTGTGCGGAAATCAATGTGCAAAACCACTACGTCAACCATATAATTTATATAAACTCTGACAGTCAAGCAGCACTACTAGCGCTGAGATCAAACTTAGTGAACTCAAAGCTAGTTGGAGAGTGCGTGAACCATCTAAACGCCCTGGGATGTAACAACAGGGTCGTTTTAAGATGGGTTCCGGGTCACGCGGGTATTGTAGGCAATGAAACTGCCGACAAGCTCGCACGGGAGAGCTCAGAGTAAACAATTTGAACCAGAGCTATTTTGTGGAATCTCAAAAAGCCTCGCCCGATTGACCCTGGAAACTCTTTACCAGAATAAATCACATAAGATCTGGTCTGATACACCAAGCTTAAAACATTCTAAAAGCTTAATCCGAGCTTTCGATCGTAAATTCGCTTCAGAAGCCCTGGGATTAGGTAAAAATAAAAAAGTCCCGATTGAACACTGTTGTATTAAAAAGCATATGTCCACCCTGGGACTAAGCAACTCAAGGATGTGCCGGTTTCGTTCCTTAACTGAAGAAACGCCTCCTTACATCCTGATTGTGGACCCATAATGCGCAAACGTAACCCTCATCTAGGAAATGTATGTACTCTGCCCAGAAGAAGTGAAATTGTTCACAGCTAAGCAACTCCTTCTATTTATTGAAGACATAGGGCTTAGCATTGAACTATAGCCATAGCAGCGATCACAATAGATCTTTCAGGTGGCAGTGATACTGCTCTCTCTCTAGACCTGCATAGCTGCTCGTACACAAAAAAAAAGACGAATCTAACGACAACACCCCATTCGTTAAAATTCATTAAGCCTTAATAAGCCGTTTACGCTTAATATATTTTAATAAATGGGGAGACAGTGCATGCCAAAGAATTAGACATACGTACCCACACTCAAATTTTTACCCTCGTTTTGTGGCAGTCGGATAAAAAACTACAATTTTCATTTAAAAAATATAATGGTTTTTTTTTTATATAAGAAATGTTACTATGTTATAGTGATTGTTTTGAAAAATTTGGCAATTTTTGTAGGCATTGATATATTGAGCAGATTGTTCCCGAAATGTTTTTAATTTTAACATATCTACTTCCTGAATCATACCTAGGTACCGAATAATCGAATTTGATGTCCCATACAAAATCAGGCAAACTTTTTAGAATGAAACACATTTTAATATCAAAATGTATATTGTAAATATGTATAAACATGAAATATTTAATTAAAAGTACGAATAATAAACAAAAGGTAATAAAAACTTTAATAACTTATAAAATAAGATTCTTTAAAGCATTGGTAAATAACTAAAATATTAAGTATGTATGTATGTATTTTGTGACATGTTTATCTAAGTATATGGTAGAAATAACATTAGATATTCCTTTATATGAAATATCATAACAATAAAATAAAATAAGGCACACTGGTATAGTGCAAAAAATTGTTCAATTTAAGAATACTACACGCATTCTTCTATGTTTAATATATACAATCTAACAAAAAAAATATATATACAAAAAATTAGTAATATAATTAAATAACAGTTAAAAATATTTAATTACTTATTCACAATCATGTGAAATAGTGTTTAAGTATATGAATATAACACATGAATTTAAAAAATATTTGTGGTAATTTTCACCGAAATGGAAAAATAATGCGGGATGCAGGAATAGACATATCTGTGTTAGAGAAAACGAGAAAAAAATATTGTAGATGTAGTACTAAGCAGAACAGAATATATCAGAGTAGACTGCAGCAGGTGATAAAAGTTAAAAAGTAAAATTATATATATATATATATCCTCATCCTCCTCTCATTTCCGAGTGTTTTAGGGCAAGGAAATTTCCACCAAGCTCAATTGCAATAAACAATATATGCTGGCAAACTTTGCCTTCAAAATATTTCTTTTAATTTCTCGGACATGCAGGTATCCTTATGATGTTTTCTTTCGCAGCTGAGCATGTGGTAAATCAACACTTGAAATTGCAATTAACAATTTCATTGGTGCAGGTAGGATTGAGCCTGGATTACTCACAGAAATTTACAGAATACACTTAGCTCTTGAGCTACCAATGGTTCTACTCACTGAAGCAGGTGATAACAAGATGTTATTTCTTTTGTTATCAAAATTTATGACAAGGGCATGCTTAAATGGTAGGGAACACAATAAAGCACCCTGTCCTTGATCCTATGCGCCTTAGAGAGAAATTCACTTCTTTTAAAAGTTTATCTCTTCTTCATATCTTTGCAGTGCAATATAATGTTGAACTTGTTAACTTATCAAATATCTTGACATTTTGGTTTGATCTATAGAAATCTATATTACAAGAAAAAATTTGTGTTACCTATAGATAAACGCCCAACAAAATATATGAGATTCCCAATAATAATGCTATTAGTATTTATTTGTAATAAATTGGTAGTATGTATTTAAAGCTTATATACATGGAATGTTTATATTTCTAATTCTTATGTTTATATTTCTAATAATGTTAGTGATGTTAGTATTTATAAAAAAAGCCAGAATACTTTGTTCAAAAATGTTTAAGTACCTACTGACTTAATATGTTTAATTAATTAAAATTAAAGTCAAGTTAATACTTTTATCATATAGTTTAAATGTCAACTATAATTTCCAGCAGAACAGCTTACGTTTATTCCTTTAGAGAGCATAAAGAAGACAATCGTTTTTGGGCCCACTAGAAACTTTAATGTAACTTAATTTTATTACACATAAAAAAGATACCAATTCCTTGTAAGTCAATGGCCTAAAGATTTTATGAAAATATAACTGGAATCATAAAATCTGAAAAAAAAAAAGTTCCTTTGATATTTGTGTATTGGCTAAAGTAATATAAAAAAATAATACATATAAAGAACTGCTAAAAAAATTTCCATAAACCTTAAAGTACCTGTAAATGCTGAATGTACCTACAACTTTCTTATATACTATTAATTATTGACCAGTGCACTATTTTAACTTATATAATAATACCGGTGAAAACTACTAGACAATTACTTTTAGTTTGTTTTTAGGTTATTGTGATATTCATATTTAAATTGTTAATTTCTCAGTATTCCCATTAGATATGGAAAAACTAATATTACTATTGTAATCTATTGGTTATAAGGAATAAATTGATACGTTTCATTAAGTTATGCCTGGTTACTGTGGTGGGCCCATTCTCAATACAAAAAGAAATTATCTCCTTTATTACATAAAATAAATTTACATGATTGGTGTCTTCCTATTTATAAATTTAACGAACAACATGCAGTTCTATGGTAGAATTTTTTGTTGTTATCATTGGTAGAAACTTATTTTCAAGTTCCATGGGTATTTCATGCCATGCACATTTGCCAATTATTGGTACTTCCTCAAGAGGAGCCCTGAATGCAACTAATAGGGAAAGACAGCAGCCATCAGCAGATGGATCTGCTTCCACATTAAGCAACCCCAGAGGGCGATGTTGTCCCACATCAGCTCCAAACATTTCAACCATGAATCTCCTAAGGGTGGAGTGCACACTCTTTGCAGGATTAATATCACATGTAGGAAAATGAATTGATGTTTTTTCACTTAACAATACATGCATTCTATTTGTACTTCTTTTCTTTATAATTATTACCAGCCTCATCAGATTTTTGCTGTGAGGTGTTAATGCTGGCAAAATGTTTTTGTGCCATGTTTTACCTGGTTGGCTTTGTTTATGCATCTTTGCCCTTTCAATTAAATGTAAAATATCATTGGATCTCAATGATATCTCCTGCAAGTTGGAAATCCATTTAGCCTGTAGAGATTCTTTATCAGCTTTAGCTGGCGTTTTGAGTTCTCCTCCAATAACATCTGCAGTTAAAACAAATCTGTACCAGGAACCACCAGCAGTTTCCACAGTTAACAAAGTTTTTGGGCAGCATTCTAAGCCAGTTTCTTCTAATACTTCTCTGCATGCGGCTTGAACAATATTTTCACCTTTCTCCATACGCCCAGCAGGAAGATACCACTTACCGGCGCAACTTTCCTTAGCTTCTTGCATCATTAGTAGTTCATTATGTTCATTGATAATTATACAGGCCACAACATACGTCACATTTCGACCTAATATTGGTATGAAGTTTGATGGAGTAGTTGGAGTAATACCTTGGGATTCTGCAACTGAGTTTTGGTCTGCTATTGAAAAATCACTAAAATCGTTTTCTTCACCTTCCAGCCCTAGTCCATCTAATAAAAGGGCAATATTAGAATCCACCTGGCGCGACATATTTACCTAGTTTCAATTAACATAAGTCTATCTAATTTTGATACAATCGAAAGTGGTAGCTTTTGTTTTTTATTCACAGCATATTTTATATTATTTATATATAAAATAGGGATATTTACATTGTAACTACGACAAAAACTGATGAAAATTGAAAAATAAATAAAATATATAAAAATGAATGACAATAATCAAAAACAAATTCAAGGTCACAGCATAGACCATAGACTAATATATAATACTGGAGATAGACTGGCAACTGAAGTTTTCATATTTAGTTACCGTTCAGCGCCCTCTGAACGCGAAGCAATGAACTAAATGAAACATTATATATATATATATATATATATAGTTGCGTATATGGCAATATGTATAGGTACTTACGTATGAATTACTGTTTTATTTATAGATAGAATATTTTATCTATAAATAAAACGGCAATTCATACGTAAGTACCTATACATATTATTTATATTTCGTTTTAGATACTTAAACAGTGTTTTGAAGTAAGCATATTTTTGGTGATGTTTTTAGACACACAAGTTTAAGTATCTTTGGGTATTCGGGTAAAGGTAATGAGATAAATAATACGAAAATATATAATTCAATAAATTTATTAATTATACATTAATACATTAATTTCGACGCCTTTTTGCCTCTCGTTTCGCACCCTTGTAATGTTCTCGAGCCTGTAGGAAAATGGAGACATTTTCATCACTATCATTACATAAATTATAATAGCTCTTGCCATTGAGTATATTGCTGAATTCGTTGCACCAAGTAATTATGAAGAACACAACACTTTTATGGACCAAATATTTCTTTAAATTTTCTTTGTTTTTCACATTTCATAAAATTTAAGTTGATGTAGACAGAACAGCATGATATATTTAACAATGTTTTCTACATGTGCATTTATTTAAAATATTCCATGTTATGTGTTCTACTTGTGCAAAAAAGTCAAACAATAACCGGGTAGTATAGCATAACCATCTTTTGCCACAATATTCTTTTTTTATTATAAAATAGTGAAAATCTTCATTATTTGATGATATTAAATTATTTTGACATGTTTTACATTTTTTAAATATAATTTTTTTTGCTTTGGTTGCTATCTACCCACTACAATAAACTATGGCCGCGCATTTCTCTACATGAACTTGGGAACGGCTTTCTCGAATTTGTTGTGTATTTATTAAATCAATATTTAAATGTTCATTGATAATTTCCATTAAGTCATTAGCATCTTCCACATTACAATTTTGGTATATTAAAGATTTTTATGATTTTAAACATATACTGTCATATTATTCACAATTTCCTTCTAAGGAGTGTGGGAATGTTATATTAATTTGTTAATAATGTTTTAAATGCGGTTTCAAAAGCCGCTGACTTGGGCATTACATTATTATAGCCATGAGCGCTTATTGCCCCAAAAAAGTTTTCCAAAGGGTGTTGGTTTACATTACGTAACAATAATGAATTTACTTCTTCTGCCCTTAACTTATTTGTTATTAATTTAAAACCTTCTATAGTTTTTACCCAACTGGTTAGAGATGGTACAGTTACCTTTTTACCATTAGTATTTATTTACTTCATTGACCTTAAAATGGGTAATGTTTTGTTCCATAATTTTAAATGGAATGAGTTTGGTGTGACAGCAGATCTGTATATTTTACCTTCTTCTTTATGTTAATTTTAGTCGAACAGGTTGTTGAACAGCATTATCAAATGTGTAGTGTCCACACTTTCCTCTGGCAAGCACCCACTTTCTAGAAACGAAAATTTTATGTTAAATATATATAAGTATTAAATTGTTGTATTTGCTTTTTTTTTATTGGGGCATCCTAAACTACTGGATAATGTTTAGAAGCATTTCACACCAAGTGTACATTATGTGCCTCATAAAACATGCATCATACAAATCATTTTTCGGCTACTGATATTGTTTATAATAATTCATTACTGTCCCGCTGCTAGGCACTGGCCTCTCAGAAGTAGAACGATTAAGCCTTAGTCCACATGCTGCCCTGATGTGGTTTAGCGGACTTCACACACATTGACAACTTTATGAGGCCCTCTCAGGTGTGGAGGTTTCCTCCCGATGTTTTCCAGCACTGTTAACGCAAGTAATCAATAATCAAATTCTGTTCCTCACATAACCTGCATGAAATGCAATTGTTTGACCGCTGGGCTATAATGCCATTTTGTTTTTATAAAGAAAATGTAGGTACCAAATTTTATTGAAACTCAATTCAAATTAATGTTTAATGATTATGACTTACATTACTCCCGGGTTGCCTAACAAAAATTTGTCCCACATACCTTTAATTAAATATATTGTAATTAAAACAAATTGCAAAAACATATTATATTGTTTTTGGTTAATTCACTTAATTCATTAGTTTCACACAGGTTATAAATGAATGAACAATAAATATATGTTTTATTGTACATTCATTTATAACCTGTGTGAAACTAACGCAGTTGCTATTATTAAATAAACTTAATCAAAAACTGATTTACCTGATACACCTGCAGAGGGTAAAAGCAAAGATGGAACAGCCAATTTACAAAGCCTGTTTTTTGGGTAAAGAAACTTTCTGAAAGTGCTGACGACAGATTCTATGAGTTTTACGGACAGTGGTGTTGTCCAGACTCACAATACCACCTACAATAATCTTTACCCAATTATGAAACCAATCTGCATCTTTCTCAGGACATGAAAAGTAATGTAGAGGTACACCTGAAAATAAAATAAAGTGACTATAATGGGCCTGACTGAAATGTGATTTTTAATCTTTCTAAGTTACTCTACATTATTTTACAATACATAATAATGTAATTTAATAAAATAAATAAAGTTATTGATAAATAATTAATCATAATTATTTTTCTAGATCACTTAGTTCAGAGTTCTAAAGACTAGCAGTGTTATAAAAGACAATTTCAAAAACTCAAAAGCCCGGCTAAAGGGGTGTAGGTAGATGCAGATGTATAGACCCACATTTTATGTGAGAGAGTTTATTATAATTACATATATATCATCTGATATCAAGGATGATGTTTTGTACCATAGGGACAATCAACTAAATTAATAATTTTCATCATTTTCTCAGTCGGTCTAGGTTATTTACTAAAGATAAAGAATCTTGATAATATAATTATGTCTTTTCACTTTACCTTGCATTTCAAAAATCTAAGAATTTACAAATGAAATATATATAAAACTTCTTGTGAACTCTATGTAATAGTTAAGTCGGTGGCTTGTCTTAGATTCATTAGTAAATTTAGAGATTTTTTCAATCTAAGTCAAATCTTATTTACTCATTTAGACCATATCAATAGGCACTTTTGAAAGTCGAGACTTTAGGTGCATGTTCGTAAATGTAGATTCCGATGGAGAAAAACATGCAAGAAACTCAACTTTTAATTGCAAATTGAGAAAAAAGACATGTCAAGATTGTTTACCAGTTTATCATGTTTTAGTCCTTGCTCTAAGGTTTACTATGACTTAACTGAGCCGACAGACTACGGCCCGTATTCTAAAACGACACTTGGCGACGATCTCAACTTGAGCACATCTTAGTGACGTATTTGTATGAAATGATAGACTCAAATCATTCTCAAGTAAAGCTGTGTTTGAGCGTCATTCTAGAATAAGAACCTACATGTAGCATTTATGATTTCTAAATGTTAAAAAACCTTATAGGAACCAATGGTATTTTAGAATTTTTGACTTACTGAATAAATAGAAATGTTGTTTTTTACTGCTTTTTAATTGTTAAAAACAGATTAACCAGTTTATGGTGTATTAGGCACGTGGAATATAAGCCAGCGTAGAATACACATATTTGTTTAAAAGACTATTGAGGTTATGAAACTTCAGAATATAAAAACACACTTTACTCACCATCTTCTGCTACTACTTGGCACCCAGGAACACAGAAGATATTTCGAGGCATTGTGTAAAATGTAAAATAACACTACACTGAGATATATGGTCCAAACTCCCTACGGGGGCCTATCAACATGTATGTCCAAAACACTTTCACAAAGTACAGTCTATGCTGGAATTTCGGTATTTCTGGAATATACGAAGAAACTGAAGCTCGATTCAACGTAGTAACACAAAAAACACCAAAAATTACAAGAAAATGCGCACGAGTATGCAAACACGCCGGTGAAAAATTTCTTCAAGTTCGACTCAGTGTTGCTAAAATTTGGTATCAATAAACTACTCTAAAGATTCTAAGATCGTAACTGTAATAAATACTATATAAATTATAATATCACTATGTAGTAATACAAAAAAATATAAAATATTTTTAAAATAAATTATACTGTTGTTAAATCATTTATTTTTGTGTACCTGGACCAATAAAAGAAAAATAGCAAAATTATCAGTTATTTTAAAGTACCAAGTGTTCCAAGTAAAAAAGAGTGGTCACACTGCAATAAAAAGCTCCATGTATGTGGGATAGATGGCGTTTTTCATAATAAATAAAAAATGTTTTAAGTTACCAGGGCATGGCATAGACTACAGAAGATTTTTTTTAATAATCGGCTTTAATGCTCTGGGTTCTTGCCCTTCTGAGCCTGAAGTTACAATGTATAATTATCCTTCGTAGTAGACTGCTTCACAATATGTTGATGCGTCACTTTATGCAGTCCTTGAGAGATTTTGACGGCAACTTGAGCCAGCAGACAGCTGACAGTTGGCGATGGTATCTCAAGACGTCTAAGCAGACAGTCACCTTATTTTGAGAATCACATCACCATCAGAGTACTTGCTTCACCGTTTCCACTAATAGTTCACATACGCAGACACTTAATACACAAAATTGTACCACTTTTATATATCAAAATCCACTTTAAACCATTATTAGTATTATCTATAGTAATAGTCTATACTTGTTTACTTTAGCTATTTCCATAGGCATAATGTCGTATGGTATTGTTACGCGCCACTATTAATGTCTTGTACATGGCAACACTAGTTA